AACAAATACAATCAAGCCATAAAAATCAGTACAAGTTTAAAAAACAAATTACAGTAAAAGAAAGTAAAAAAGATAAATAAAATGCTCAAAAAATAAACACCAAATGCCCTTTTGAAAGACTATTTTACTTTTGGATTACTAAGACTTCTGCTACGATTAGCTGGACCAATGGACCAAAGAGACAGAAAAGTTGGTCCAAAGGGACAGAGTGGTTGGTCCAGTAGTTTGACCAGTAGTTGGGCCAGTACTTGACCAGTTGGTGGACCAGTAGTTGGTCCAGTGTTTGGACTAATAGTTGGACCAGTGGTTGACCAGTAGTTGGACCAGTAGTTGACCAGTAGTTGGACCAGTAGTTGGACCAGTAGTTGGACCTGTAGTTGGACCTGTAGTTTGACCTGTAGTTGGACCAGTACTTGACCAGTTGGTGGACCAGTAGTTGGACCAGTAGTTGGACTAATAGGTGGTCCAGTGTTTGGACTAATAGTTGGACCAGTGGTTGACCAGTAGTTGACCAGTAGTTGGTCCAGTAGTTTGACCTGTAGTTGGACCAGTAGTTTGACCTGTAGTTGGACTAATAGGTGGTCCAGTGGTTGACCAGTAGTTGACCAGTAGTTGACCAGTAGTTGGTCCAGTAGTTTGACCTGTAGTTGGACCAGTAGTTAGACCAGTAGTTGGACCAGTAGTTGGTCCAGTAGTTGGTCCAGTAGTTTGACCTGTAGTTGGACCAGTAGTTTGACCTGTAGTTGGACTAATAGGTGGTCCAGTGGTTGGGCCAGTAGTTGGTCTAATGTAAAATGTCATGCTGGAGTGAACCAGTTGGAAAAATGACTCTTTATCAGAAACATGAATAAATACACAAAGGGCCTGCCGTACCTCCGCACTCTGATGTCCCTGATTGTTTGGTTCTTCAGTTCTGGCGTTCGCCTCAGGACCTTCGATGGGGAACCTGACCTTCCTGGGTCTGGTGGGCATCATTGACCCCCCCAAGGAAGGAGTCAAAGAGGCCGTGGCTACACTCATCGAGTCCGGCGTCGCCATCAAGATGATCACCGGAGACTCCCAGGAGACCGCCATGTCCATCGGTCAGAGAGGGTCTGAGTAAAGAGTCCTGTGTTTTCATGGAGCTCCTTCATGAACCTGTTGTCTGTCTGTCTGTAGCCAGCCGTCTGGGGCTGTACTCCAAAGGGAGCCAGTGTTTGTCAGGAGAAGAAGTGGACCATCTGGACCTGCAGCAGCTGTCCATGCTGGTCCCCAGAGTGAGGACACACTGAGACCCTTCAGTTGGACATCCTGTCTCTGACAGTAAATAAACAGACCCTTTGTCTTTGCAGATATCTGTGTTTTATCGAGCCAGCCCCAGACACAAGCTGAAGATCGTCAAGGTGAGCAGGAGGCCCCCAGGTGACGTCACACCTGAGCAGGCTGATGAACCGCAGGTAAACAGGTTCTTCTTCTCTGCAGTCGCTCCAGAACCTCGGCGCCGTGGTGGCCATGACGGGGGACGGTGTGAACGACGCCGTGGCTCTGAAAGCGGCCGACATCGGCGTGGCGATGGGCCAGACGGGCACCGACGTCTGCAAGGAGGCGGCCGACATGATCCTGGTGGACGACGACTTCCAGACCATCATGTGAGTCCAAGACCTGAGTGCGGCTCAGGTGGTCTTCATCACCTGGTGACGGCTCACATCACTACAACACTTGAAATGAAACATCAGCTCAGTGTTTTGTCTCCAGGTCGGCCATCGAGGAAGGAAAAGGAATTTACAACAACATCAGAAACTTTGTGTGTTTCCAGCTGAGCACGTGAGTGTACGCTGTGGTTCAGCAGCAGGGTTTGGTTTGTTTGATGACCTCTGACCTCTGAGCCTATCTGTCTCCCCCTGCTGGTCTTCAGGAGCATCGCGGCGCTGACGCTTATCTCCCTGGCTACACTGATGAACTTCCCCAATCCGCTGAACGCCATGCAGATCCTGTGGATCAACATCATCATGGACGGCCCGCCCGCTCAGAGGTACAGCTGTGTCCTGCCTGTTAACCTGCGTGACTTTAAACCAGACTGGACTCTAGCTGACAGGTTTGTTTTTGATTGACACCTGTTGGTCTGTGTCGTCAGTTTGGGGGTGGAGCCTGTGGACAAAGACGTGATCAGGAAGCCTCCTCGTAACGTGAAGGACAGCATCATCACCCGCAGCCTGATCCTTAAAGTCCTGGTCTCAGCCGTCGTCATTGTCTGCGGGACGCTCTTTGTCTTCTGGAGAGAGGTACTCGTCTTTGAGGACTCATCTGGACTCTGAGTCCCTGACTGGGACTCAGACTCTCATCCAGCTGTTGGTCTTTCAGTTACAGGACAACATGATCACTCCTCGAGACACCACCATGACCTTCACCTGCTTCGTCTTCTTCGACATGTTCAACGCTCTTAGCTCACGCTCTCAGGTAAACACCCACACCTGTCTCACCTGGGGGGACGGTCCTTGTGTCTGTGTTTGGACGGTAACCTTCAGGTGTGTCCTCCTCAGACCCGGATGGTCCATGAGATGGGTCTCTGCAGTAACAGGACCTTCTGTTACGCAGTGCTGGCCTCCATCATGGGACAGCTGCTGGTCATCTACTTCCCTCCTCTGCAGAACGTCTTCCAGACTGAGGGCCTCAGCATCTTCGGTGAGAGACACACTAACACTGTGACAGGAAGTGGTTTACACCTGTTTCCTGTTCGTCTCAGCAGAAAGGTTAATGTCTCTGCTCTTCAGAGCCAGACCAGATTTACGTTTGTGCTGTTGGTTTGATACAAACTTCAGATGTCATGTCTGTGTGACCTTTGACCTGTTGTCCTCATGTGTTTGACCTGTTGTCCTCATGTATTTGACCTGTTGTCCTCATGTGTTTGACCTGTTGTCCTCATGTGTTTGACCTGTTGTCCTCATGTGTTTGACCTGTTGTCCTCATGTGTTTGACCTGTTGTCCTCATGTGTTTGACCTGTTGTTCTCATGGTTTGGACCTGTTGTCCTCGTGGTTTGGACCTGTTGTCCTCATGGTTTGGACCTGTTGTCCTCATGGTTTGGACCTGTCTCTGTCCTCATGGTTTTGACCTGTTGTCCTCGTGATTTGGACCTGTTGTCCTCGTGGTTTGGACCTGTTGTCCTCATGATTTGGACCTGTCTCTGTCCTCATGGTTTTGACCTGTTGTCCTCATGGTTTGGACCTGTTGTCCTCATGGTTTGGACCTGTCTCTGTCCTCATGGTTTGGACCTGTTGTCCTCATGGTTTGGACCTGTCTCTGTCCTCATGGTTTTGACCTGTTGTCCTCGTGGTTTGGACCTGTCTCTGTCCTCATGGTCTTAACCTGTGACCCTGTGTCTCTTGTCTCCTGCAGACCTGCTGTTCCTGGTCAGCCTCACGTCGTCTGTCTGCATCGTGGCAGAGGTCATTAAGAAGGTGGAGCGTCTGAAGGGCTCAGAGAAGAGGCCCCCCTCTGACTCCTCCCTTCACGTATGACACCTCCCCCTCCATGTGTGACCCCTCCCCTCCAGTTTGGAGGAAGAGGATGATGAAGGTGGGAGGATGTCACCTGATGGCACTGACTCTTTCAGACTACAACAAAATGGGATTTTCCTGCTCTCCAGTCTGGGACTGGGAGGTCCACTTGGGATTATACTGAAGGACTGGACTGAGTTTGTCAGATCCATCAAAGCGAGTCCAGTTCCTGGTCCTTTAGGATGGATCAGACTTTACAGACTTGTTTATTCTCCTGGGTTTAGATGTGGGATGAAGCTGAGCTACTCTTTGTTTTACTTCCTTTTTACTGCTGAAGGTGGAGCTTTATTCTTCTGACACTGGTTTATGACCAGATGTGTAGGTCCCACCTCTGCTGAGGGTCAGAGACGGTCAGGGTTAGGACCAGAGATGGTCAGGGTTAGGACCAGTGATGGTCAGGGTTAGGACCAGTGATGGTCAGGGTTAGGACCAGAGATGGAGGTGTAGTGGTTCTTCACAGCAGTGAACCTGCCAGGCTTCAGCTTCAGTTTTTATTTCTGTTTCTTTTTATTGTAAAGGAACATTCCTCTGTTTTCTGTCACTTCATCAGGTCTGCAGGAGTTCTACAGAGCACACAGCTGGAACTGGGTCAGGGGTTTTACAGGACCTGAACCAGACCTGAAGAACCACCTGACTCATGACTTTGGAGACCTGAGGTCCTGTCAGGACCTGTGAGGACCTGTGAGGACCTGTCAGGGTCTGTGAGGACCTGTCAGGACCTGTCAGGGTCTGTGAGGACCTGTCAGGACCTGTCAGGGTCTGTGAGGACCTGTCAGGACCTGTCAGGGTCTGTGAGGACCTGTCAGGACCTGTCAGGGTCTGTGAGGACCTG